AGTATCTTCCTTTGGAATTGGATGCTGCCATCACATATTTAGCCTGAGCAAGTTTTTAGACCGATAGGCGTCCTGAGCAGATCTACGCAGTTGCGACATTCGAAGGAAAAATATAATTCCATTTTTTTATAAGGCGTCGTCATTTGTAAAGCTCCCTAATATTGCACGACGAACGGAAAAAAACGTCAAGTCAGGATGAGAGCAAGGCCTACAGAAGTGTCACTTTCAGTTTCGAGAAATACTCAGAAGACAAGAACAATTTTCATTTCTTATTCAATCAAGGTATTGTCCCAGCAACAAGGTATTGAACAACATAAGTTACCAGTCGTAACGAGTTTGTGAAGATAATGTATCGAGCGTTCGGCCTTTGTTGGGGCAAGGCATGTGGAAGTACTCTTTAAGCAATGACCGCGGCGACTCCGAGGACAACGCAATTGTCTTGACTTGTTCAGCACGCCTACTGGTCCCAGAACTTGCTCAAGCTAAATATGTATCGCCAGTGTTCAGTTCCAAATGAAAATATGAACTTAGTCATTTCACGTTGTTGTTTGCAGAGGACGGCAAAGAAATGTACAAAGATTTATGACGCACGTGCACAGCCATTGTTTTGCACATTAATAAGCCTTTTGTTTGTTGGCATTCTCGTTGCCGTCGTGGTTTCCTTAAGGTCCCTAATTCACGTTGCAAACCAGCTTGTTCGATAATAACCACAGGCTCAAGAAACCTTCGGAAACCGCATTCCGAGCTATGAAGCGACAAACATTTACCACAGTGCAAATGATAAGCAATACACTTACTATGAAAGCATCCCAGCAGTCTATTAAACACTTCCTTGACCACACTGGGTGACTGCTTGATCAGCTTAGGCAGTACAGCGATGATTTCCTGTTTCTTCAGACCAGTGAGTACAGGGATCAAGAACCGTACGTCTGATACACGCTTGTGGTAGAGCTCCTTGACTCGCTTAACCAGCTCTGCTGTGGGTACCGCTGGAAACAGAAAAGAAAAGAGCCTGTATAAACATTTAGGAAATCGCCCGAAGAAAATATGCGCGCTGACTGATTGGTTCTCTGTGTTTCTATCGACTGATAGAGTTTGGGAGGGCTCAAGAAAGCTGTGGAAACACTCGCCTTTCGGCATTTCTCGTTCTCCCAAACTTCCACTCCTGTTTCTATTTAAACAATAGAGTGCTTTTGTCGAGGAACTATCGGCTGTTAGTTGCCCCGCGGAAATTTGATGTTCTTAAAACAAATATGCTAGTTTTAAGAACATCAAATTTCCAAGGGGCAACTATCAGACCGATAGTTCCGAGCTATAAACACTCTATTGTCTTTATTGTTCACCACTGAATTTTCTTCCGCGAGCCAGTTCAAAAATCATATTGAATTACTTTCAACTTTTTTAGATGAAAGCCGTGAAAGCCAAATGTAAAATTTAAAACGGAAAATAAACAAAACCCACTTAACACAATTTCATTTGTTAAGTTTTTTTTATAAGCTCGCTTGTTTACAGAAAATTTTTCACGGACGAGTACTATCCATCCGGGTATTTTCCTCGTACGGGCACTATGGGCTGATAGTGTCTCTCCGCGGATGAACACTCTCGCGTCACGTGATCAATTTAAACAAATAAGAATCGGAGAAAATTTAGTGGTGAACTATAAATACCTCTTACTAACCGAGTTCGAGGTCCGTATTGTAAGTTACGGATCGAGTTTTTTCCTCTTCGATTTATGGCACAAGCGCGAAGCGCGCGGGCCATAAATCGAATGAGAAAAAAAAGAGGATCCGTAACTTACAGTACGGACCGAGAAGACGAGGTTAGTAAGATATTTATTATATCTCTACTGTGTGCCTGACGGGTTCGGAAACGATTTCTATTCACGCGGACTCGGAAAGGCTTCAAATTTCTGACGCACCTCAAAAGCAAAACGAGTCAGTTTGAAATTGTGTCTAAGTCTTTAGCAAGCTTTATTACACAAGTTAGAGTATAAGAAAGTTTTAAACTTCCACTTGCTATGAAAGTCAAGAATACTTGGCGATAAATCACGAAACAGTTTGGCAACAAAACCAACTTTAAATTTTTGGCGGGCCGTGCAGGAGAAATATGGCCCGCTAAATTGACCAGTCACAGCGCGCGTACTCGAGATTTCTAACGCGTGTGCGCCCTCGTCAACTATCGCGCATAGAAATCAAGAGCGAATAATTTAATTGTTTTAGTATAAATCTACTACTCGTTCAAAACTTTATGTAAATCCTCTCCACAGACACTTCGAAAACGCCAAGAAGCGGCCGTCATTTTGTTAACAAGGGTACACTGCTACGCTGCTCACTATCTATCACAGAATAGATAGTGAGTAGCCAATCAGAGAACGGCATTCGCGATAGAGCGCTAGTAGATTTATACTCGATAGACACACGGTACATGTTTTCTATTTCTTAAATGTCTCTCAATGGCGAGTTTGATTCACCAGCCCCATACAGGTACTGTTCCTAAAGCGTTCACTTCATAAACTGAGAAAGCACTGCTTGTATTTCCGTATTATGTTTGCAATTGTAAGATATCGGACCTAAAAAATACAGCACAGTACCTTTGTCAGTGATAATGTTAAGAATCCTAGCTATAAGTGTTTCAGCGCCTGTAGGACAGTTCTCTACCAACTGCAAGAGCTCAGGTGACGCCATACCGATTGCACGAACCTGAGACAAAATAGAGAAGCAGAACTGTAGGTCCGCAGCGCGTGTAAATGAAAATGAGAGAATAAGAAGTAACACTGGCCTTAAGATAAACCGAATATCGTTTTAATGAACAAGGTATCGGCTCTTAAAGAAACAATGGGATTATTCTCAGTCAAAACTGTTACAACTTTGAGTAACACTCTACTTAAGTAGTGAGCGAAATTGTCGGATTTGGGTTAGAAAAAGGCAACCGCAATTGCCAAGTGCTGTCCCATTTTGACCTTATTGAATGAAAAATCTTAGGCCTGCTATTAGCTACTTAAAAATTGGCAGTATACTTACAGGGTGTTCAAGATGTCTAAGAATGATTCTTTTTATGACCTGCGAGGAAGCTGTGTACACTTTAGCCAATCTGGGGAGAACAGAGGACAAGCACAGAGAGGAGTTAGTGAACTGTATATTAAGTCACACACCAAACAGTTATGCTACTCTAGAACTGCGAATGTTTTGGTCAGAGGGAGTACTGAGACTAGGCTACCATAGATATATTAAGAGGGCTTACTCGACGGCCGTCATGGTGGTGCATAGATGGTGAAAACCAGTATGGCGACAGTAAACAAAGTCTTTCACTTACCGAAAAGCTATTTTCCCAGTACTTAACTCCCCATGAACATCGTTCTGGCTTTCAAATTTAACCAGCTTGTTCTATTTTATCTGTCCTACAAAGGCTAATATTTGGTTGTTGTCGAGAATGAAGACAGTGTTATCACTAACAACCATTTTATGAACACTTGTATAGTTATCACAATTGCGCTGTTAATGCAAGTACAAAGGAGGAAGGATGAGGACTTTTGGTGATAAACTTACTCGTGAAATAGTTTATGATTTTGTGGAAGCAGTGCAAGATATAAATAAAGACAAAGTTTAATCGTGTCATCTGTCCACTCGCCAGGAGCCACTTCTGTAAACAAAAGAGAAAATAATGATAATTGAGAATGTGATAACCGTTTGCGACCTTCCAGTTAACAACTCCCAAATAATAGAGACGTTCCCAGCGTTAAAACATAAACTTCCACGAGTCAATACCGTTATGCAACCATCAGTACAAATGTACAAGAACTCCGGCGTGGCTGACACCATCAAAGAGTCATCCCCACAAAATAAGGATAACGGTGAACACCCACACAACTTGCTCTACCTGCGACACACTGGTATTCAAATGTAGGGAGATTATGATAGACAATAAGCATCTAATGTGCGTTTGTTGCGAGCTGTACCTATATCAGGGTCCAGTCCCTCTGGGGCAGGCGGGTGGTCAGCTAACAACTGTTGTAAAGAACTCAACGCGTATTTCTGAAATTCAGAACCAACCAAGGAAAATTTAATAACAAATAAACTAACAATCTAAAACGACAGGCACCAGAACTGCCAGACATGTCATTATCGTTCCTGCGGACTCTGTTGCACGCGCCAGAGACTCTGCTGTACTTCATTTTTCTAACTCTCTCCACGGCTTTTGCAAATGTAATGAAACATTGTCTCTCGTGTTTGATTTATCACATGAAGCGACGCCGATGTTTTGTGTAAAAAATTCTGAAGAAAAGAGGATTGCTATAAACAAACAACTCTGTCAGACCAGAAATATCTTTTACCTCAATGGATTCCGCTAGTTCCGGCCGCGTGTGAAGTTTCTTAGCCGAGTGTATGGCTTGTACCCGCACCTGTTCTTTCTCGTTTGTGGTCAGCTCCAGAAGAGTTTGTAGCAATTGTTGCTGGGTTGCTGGTCGTTTTAAGATTAGTTCCCTTAGGGTAGAAAATCCAACTAGAAGACGCTCCTGCAAATAATAAACCCAGGGTTGTAAAGGTCATAAGGTAGGCAAAGCCAAGTGGCCCATCAGGCCGGAGCTTATCTCTTTTCTATAGAAAGAAGCGAATAGCAATATTTCTACTCTTCCCTGGATGGGATGCTAGTCCGTCGCAGGGTTACCCCCAGCATTAAATTCGCCGGTTCCCATTTACGCACCTGGGTGGAGAGAGGAACTGTGAGAGTAAAGTGTCTTACCCAAGAACACAACGGAATGTCCCCGGGCGAGGACCGCTCGATCCGGAGACGAGCGCACTAACCACGAGGCCACCGCGCCTCCTAATAAACTGGCCATTAATTAGGAAACAACATATTAGTTTGTATATCTTGAAAACGTTAACCGTAGCTTTCTAAGTTTGTCGTTTGATTACGCATCGATCAGCTCTCTTGACTTCACAACTCACCAAATCTTCGCAGTACATTCTGACAGCCATGACAGCCCCGTCTGTTAGTGACGGTATGTCCAGCAGAATACGAGAAAACAACCTGAAACAGAAGACAAACAACGACAGGAAGCTTTACTTAAATCCAGGAATACACCATTATAGCAATATACCAGTAAAACTTCAAGTATTCGTTATAACAACTAGTACTACATTTACATCTAACAGCTTTCATTTGAATGGCCACAGACTTAGCTTTTAGAGTGGTTTTCACTCGAGTGTCGAAAATTAATTGGTTTTGTATTGCTACGCTACACGATTGGTTCAAAAAAACCGCGCCACTTTTCCATCCAATCAGACGCAAACAAAAACCAATCGTGACTCGCTTACACACGTTTTCCCGCGTTTCTACTTAGCTACGTGTATCTGCTTTGAGTTTTGATTGGTTCATTGGGTTGTCTGTGTCTTTTGTGATTGGCTAGAGTGATTACTTTGGTTTCGGTTTTACGACACTCAATTGAAAACTGCGTTATTCACAGGCGTTAATTAAAGGTTAGAACCACCTTATGCAGCATAATGAAGAGTACCACATGAAAATACTACTCCATAGTTTTCATTTGAATAAGACATTGTGTGACTGAGAGTGGAAGTATCAAGACAAGACCCTTACTTGTCTTTGGGGTCCAGCTTGGCGTACAATCCGTCCATCAGATGGAGAATACAATCGCTGTATGATTGTCGTAACTCGCTATCTTCTCCCGGCATTTCAGTGCCTTCCGATGCTCCGTATTCTTGATACAGCCATGACATTAACAGTTCGTAACGAGGCCTGATATCTTCTAGAATAAACTCTTGAAGAACTGCAGTGGCATAGAACAAAGAAACACGTAAGTTAACGATCAACCGGTAGCAAGCAATGGTAAGAGGGGAAGGAGGTTTGGAAAGAGCTTCCAGGCTTCCAGGGAGCAAAAGAAACGCAAGAAACTTTTGTGGAGAGGAAGAAGAAGATTGCCTACCCATTTTTAAGTCGCCACCGAGTTGAGTAACAAGTCCAACAATGAGGCTGATATGTTCCTGAAGGAAAACAAAATACAATATGAAAATCAATTTAACAAACAGTATACGCTAGATTATCAAAGTTATTCATGTAACATATAAAGTGACTTGAAAATGTTAAATCTGCAGCCTGGAGAATTCCCTTTAATTTTAAATTATAAATTATAATATTGAGAGAGGAAGCCTCATCAGGCCTAGCTGGTTTTTATGCAAGTTCTTTATCCTGGTGTCCAAGACTGTTAAATAAATTACAAAAGGTTTGATGAGGTAAACTGTAATACATCAAAGCTCAAGGATTCAAGAACAAAGAAACTTCTCGCATGGGTTTTACGTCTGAGTGAATGGTAAAGTGGCGCGAGATTTTTTGAAGCAATCGTGCGGCGTAATAATGCAAAATCAATTACTTTTCGACGCTCAAGTGAAAACCACTAATTGATGAACATCATAAATCCCAGCCATACCTGGCTTACTCCACTCCTGGCTGCACTATCTGCAAAGAAATGAGCAAAAGGCAGTGTTAATCAAATTGCTTCGCATGCAATCCTCCGAAAGAAAAANTCCAAATTAAATCACATGACCATGATATTGTAGCATATCAGGTCAGTGACTTAATACATGTGTATTGCAGGATGTCAAGACAGTAGACACAGCTTCTGATTGGCTAGTAGCTAATTTGGCTTACGGTAAGAGGAAATACATTCGCATATTTGACTCCCTCGTTGCTTCTTCCTTTGCTTGCCAGCCACCACATTCAAAACGGGTAATAAATACCATCAACTTCTTTCAGCAACATTCTCGCAAGTACATTCACACACAAAACTACTTTACCTTTCTCAAGGCTTCCATTCTCTCATATCCTTTTCCAATCCTAGCAGCATTCATCTGAGTTGCCAACAGGCGAGCAAGATGGACGACTTGAGCTTGTCCGCCTGCTGCGGCAATGGGAGTGTATGTGTCATGGAAGTGGGATGGAAGGCTGTCTGGGAGGGCTAACATGCTAACCAGCACCAGGTCTGTTACTGTGTCTTTGTTGAGTCTGGGGATTATATCCTGTGCTGTCATTTCAACAGCATCTGAAGTGGACATTGTCTCCAGCTCTTCAATCTGAAAATGAGATAAAACTCCACTGAACACAGTTCAAGTATTCTGCTTAAGTGAGAATAATTTTTGTAAATTCAATGAAGTTCAAGTGTTTCAAGTCTCAAAAGTAAACAAAAACTCCAGTCAGTCTGATATCAGTATTTAGATTTAGGTGAATGTTTCAAAAGATCTCAACCATACTCAACAAGCGTTCAATAATACATGTGGTGTAAAAGTCTAAAAACATCTCTAAACAACATGTACAAAACCATACTTACATCGAGCTTTTGTTTTTTTGTGGCCACAGCTTCTGGTTCAGGCCTTGAAGACAAAATGTGTGTAGAAAAGAACATTATTAGTACTGCACTATCGTTTTCCTCCATAACCCAGCTACCTATATAGACATCCTACTTCCATGTTCAATTTCAAGAGACATCTGCCATTTAACCCCAAAACGTTCCACATGATCATATGAAAATGAAGCTCTACAGGTAGCTTCAGGTAAAGGTGTTACAGTGGAACCCCGCCATACATCCACCTCATTGTTACGGCTCTTTTATTCTGGTCCATACACAAGCTTAGTCAGTCTTTTTTTTTATTTAAAGAACCCCTTTAACACAGCCAGCCTGTTAATACAGCCAAATTTTTGTGGCCCGTTGGTGACCAGATTAACAGGGTTCCACTGTAATTGTGAACAAAACTTTTAAAACTCTGACCGATCAGAGATGCTCTAAAGATTTAGAATTTACTACATCAAATCTCCAAATCTTAAGATTGGGGAGGTCTCATTGCACAAGGAGAGGTGTCCAAATATGGAAACTCGCGTGAACAAAAGACTACACCTTGAAGGAATTCTACAAAGAAATTTGAACAAACAAAACAGTAAGTTCCACTTAGATTAAACCTATGTAACACACACCGTTTTTTCTCTGCACTGACTTTTGGCATGTTCTTTTGAAGCTGTGGAAATTAAGACAGTGCAAAAACATCATCTCAATGGAGTGGTGAAAACAAAAACATATTCACAACAATCATAAAACAAAACTTTCAGAGCCAAAACTTTGATTTCTTTGAAGTATACCAACCTCAGCTTGTGATGCTCCAAGATCTGTTAAGAGCGTTGTGATCTGAGGGAGAAACTCAACTGAAAAAGAAAAACAACACACAAACATAGCAAACAGATGTTATTTCTTTCAAGAATAGATCCCACATCAGGATTATCTACAGCAGCAAAAGACTTGGCCTAATGTTAGCTCTGGAACATATTTATTTAGTGGTACAACGACAACATAACTGATAAAAATTTTTCTTTATTTTTTTACCATATAACATATTGATTTTGCAAGAGAAATAAGAGGCAGAGCAAATCATGGAAAAAAACAATCACAGACTCATTGAACGAGGTATGACCAATTTATAAATATACTAGTTACAGTACAGCCACTCAGGCCTCTTACCAGATGATGGATGCTTGAGTAAACTCATCAGATGAAGNTGTTAAGAGCGTTGTGATCTGAGGGAGAAACTCAACTGAAAAAGAAAAACAACACACAAACATAGCAAACAGATGTTATTTCTTTCAAGAATAGATTCCACATCAGGATTATCTACAGCAACAAAAGACTTAATGTTAGCTCTGGAACATATTTATTTAGTGGTACAAAGACAACATCACTGATAAAAATTTTCTTTATTTTTTTACCATATAACATATTGATTTTGCAAGAGAAATAATGGGCAGTGCAAATCATGAAAAAAAAAAACGATCACAGACTTATTAAATGAGGTATGACCAATTTATAAATACACTAGTTACAGTACAGCCACTCAGGCCTCTTACCAGATGATGGATGCTTGAGTAAACTCATCAGATGAAGCTAGAGGGACACAGAAAAAAAGAGAGTTTAACAATGCCAAAAGAGAACATATACATATGTATCTTTGTTACTGTGACTTTAAAATGATAGCCTATTATTGCTTTTGACAGCATACTTGCACTCTCTACATGGGCATTAAACATTTTTGCATAAAATACACTCAGGCAGTGACTCAAAATGACAAATTTATAGGAAACAAATTTCTGAATCAGCGAATGGTTCATGATGTACTGTTGAATAAAACTTAAGAAAGACAGGATCTATATGCATTTGACATGAAAGATAGCTACAGATCAGAACTTTTTGATTTGTTGAGATGCTTTCTGCTCCCCTAGTTTAAATTCAATGATTACCTTGAGATTTTTCCTCACACTGCTGACTTGAGATTTGCTCAGAGAAGTGGGAAGATTAGCTGTAGACCAAGAGATAAAGGCAATATTAGAAATACACGTACCTGGTCACTATAGGAAGCACACACAATAATTTTATTGTTTAATAAGTATGCACATTTAGCAAATACAACCAACAGTACATTGCTTTAAAACAGGAAATGCTTTTACTCTGTTTGACTTCCTTCCTGGGACACCCAGGGCTGTCATTAAGTTTTAATTTGCCTGTAGCATTGATCTTGACACACATAACTAATTTATTATTTTATGGATGAATGTTTCAGCTACAAGTAATTTCACCCATAGCATGAAGGGCCCATTAAGCATGCTCAGCCGCAATGGTTGCTATGGGTTACAGCCCTTGTTGACAGCCCTGACACCTGACCGAAACTGGTTTGACCATCTCAGAGCAGGAAAAAACCCAGGTTCGATTACCCCTGGCAAGTGAAGTTTGCTCTTGGGCAAGTGAAAATGGAAGTTTGGTTGTCCAGTGGGCAAGTAAAATTAGCCTCTGTCAGTAGTCTTGTTAGTCATAATTTCTAGTTGAAAACAATTTCAAAACTTAAGACTGCAAGATGAGTAAAACAAAGAGTCGAAAGCATGGACAACCAAGAGCATACGTGTACTTTGCTCATGTTTGTCCTCTGTTATAGCCCATCACTGATTATAGACGGTACCTAGAATTTTAAAATGATTTAGTTGATAAGACATGAACATAGTGTGCCTATTGGGCAAGAAATATTTTAGTGGGGGTATTACTGAAAACTGAAATGTACTGGCCCACTGGGTAACTGGATTTCAAAATGTTTTTTTCCTGCCCTGCATCTGGAGGAAAGCTTTTCTTTTAGAGAAGCAGTTCAAAAAGTTTTGCCTACCTGTGAAAACCAATTACCTGTCCTGCTAAAAATGTTAATGAAATTCAAAATTTATGAGATTGAAATAAAATTGAATAATCATGCTCCTACCATGAAGAGACTCAAATGCCTGAACAACAATCGCCATAAAGGCAGGTCTTTGACGAGCTATGGCTGACAGAGATCCAAGGGCAGCCATCAGGTTCACACTAATAACAATACAAAAGTTAAGGTTAGGTTTGTAATGCTCGTGTACAGGCCAACAAAAATCTCTCACAGTTAACTACCATTACAATTGGTGTGCTTTTTTCCTTTGCATTTATACATGCTCCTGTTATATGTGAAGTTTAACAGCCTCTAACATCTTCATCTGCAGGAGAATATAAATACTCCTCCTGGTCAATTCATGCTAAAAAAAACTGGAGATAAACATCAGCCTGATGGATTCTTTATCTGAACAGAGACTTAACTAGTGTCACTTAAGGAAGTTTCATTGTGACTGAAAATGTACATCACATCAAAAGGAGGATACTTGCCAAAGAAAGACACCTGCTGTACCTGAGATGGAATGTGTTTCTCAGGTACAACTAGGTATCTGTCTAAGGTATCCAAGGTGGACACTTCTCTCACGCAGACACTTGTCTAATGGATATGGACTTGAGTACACTTCATGTTATGAAGGAATAATAAGCAAAACAATATTCTGAGAAACAACACAATGGCTTTGAGAGGTTCCTCAAACATCACAGTTCATATTCATCACTTAACGTAGCCATCAGGTCTAACCTGGAGATGGTATGAGAGGCAATCAGAGTAAGCAAAGATTCCAGAGTTGATCCACCTTCTTCTCTTAACTCTGTCATTTTGACTAAAGGATGATTTCTGGGGACTATTTCCAGTGAGATGTCTGCCTCTCCTTTTTTCAGTGACTCTGAATCCTGTAGTAATGCACAAAATTGTTCAGTCAATATTTAGAAGTTTAGGGGAATGTTCCCAATTCCCAGTTCCCAGCATGTCCTTGTAGTTTCAGCTTGAAAGGTGAAAAAATGGGTTAGTGACTGAAAAAGAACACCCACCTGAGTTTTGAGCGACTGAACAAGAACAAGCATCTCCATAAACTTTATCGCATGAGTTCTGATTCTGAAAATAGTAAATGAGAAGTAAAAAGTTAGAGCACCCACCCAACATCCAACATGTTAGGACATAAGGACTATTGCACCTACATGTACATTTTGACTAAGAACTGTGACTTGCTTGAGGCATACTATTCTGACTGTTCTGGTAACTGTACCAACCTCTGTGTTCACTTGGGGAGCAGCTGGCAATGTTTGTTTAAAGGCAAAGGTTTGGTTTAGACCCTTGAAAAAGTGAATATAGTGGCTATTATTTTTTTATAAAACATCCCCTGTTTCAAAGCTTATCAAGACAATGCATGACTGTCTACTCCTGTCCCAGGTTGCTTCTCTTCCACAGAAGTGAGCTCCATCTATTTACTACATAACTGTTCTTACCCATCATTGTCAGACTCCAGCATGTCTATGATCTGTTCTTTGATCGTGATGAGAAGCTACAAAGAACAAAGTTATGAAGAACTGCATTGGTAAAGTCTGCATCAGGACAGTTGTCCCATACAGACAGAGCTTATCCTGGTTTCTGTAGCATTAAGTGACCAGGAGTATTTCTTCTCCCCCCTGGATGGGATCCTAGTCCATCGCAGGGTTACTCCAAGCATTAAATTCATCATACCCCTGGGTGAAAAGAGGCACTGAGAGAGTAAAGTATTTTGTCCAAGAACACAATGCCATGACCTCGACCAAGGCTCAAACTTGGAGCACTCCATCTATGCCTCCACTGATAAACTGCATTTTATTAATTTAAATTAATTATAATAAACTGCATTTATTAATTTAAAGTAATTGTGATAAACTGCATTTCTTAATTTAAATTACTTAAAACACATAATTTATCCAGAGCACACTTGCTTAGCCATTATAGAGCTCTTACCTCCCACATGTGTTCCAGCTCTTCTGATATTGCCTTGTGCTTGCAGATGTACTAAAACAGCATAATTAAAGTATAAATTCAAATACTGAAACAGATGAACTGTACAAGTATGAGACAAGTACACAGTAAGTAAAATCTACAATTATGGGTGAGGAATGCAGACTACACGGCATAAATTATAATAAGGCGCACATTTTCACTTAGATCTTATTATTCTCTGTGTGCGTTAGATTAGTACCCTTTAGGGATCAACCAAAGCTTCAGCAATCAAAATGAACTAAGATCAAAAATTAACTTCAACATGCACGAACGAGTAGTGTATTATGGAATCCACCAACCTGTAAAGCATATTTGTACAACTGTGTCACACACAACATGACTCTTTTTTGTACAGCAACATTGTCATCATTTAGCATGAATGCCAGAGTGCTCTGCACTTTGCTCAGCAGCTCAATGTCCTTTTTGCTGTAGGTTTAATTTGCAAATAAAGTAAATTATTGCTTGTGAGCCATCAAGACAAGATACACAGTGTATATATGTTCATAAGCTTGTTCCAGTTATACATGTAAGAAAACATGAACAAGAAATAATAATATTCCAACTGCATTTTTGTACTGTGATTGACTGCATTAATTTTTAGGTCATCCATCGAGTCTCGACCTGTTGTGGAGAAGTGAAAGACAGCAAACCAGTAAAACAAAAATAAATGCTAAAATACTTATACTTTTGACTTACCATGCTTCCTCAATAAATCCAACCACAAACCTACGCACATCTGCTGATCGGTCTTGCTGGAAAACTAAGATTTCCTGCATGTGGTAAAGTGAAAATAATAAAGTTTATTAATGCTATTATTTCAGACCCACATTAGAGAAGTCATGGTTTTCTCCAGCAGACATTTCTTTATATCACTTTAGTTCTTACTAACTTAAAACTGAGTCAGGGCTCAAGTGAAGTGACCACAGAACAATCAAGCCATAAAAACTCCTTTTTAAATTACCCAACCCGTTATAAAACCTTCACACTTATTAACCCCATCCCCTTCCTCTTTGGATTTTATTTTGCTGATGATCTTAATGAAAATAATTTAAGAGATGGAGAGTGTTTCACTCATGAAAGCCTTCACGAGCTTAGATATGCATGAATCATTACAGTTAAATTATCTGCATATTCTATCAGTTTTTCGTAATCAGCCTTCTTGTAATGGTTACTGCAGATTTTTAGTTGCAGTTCCATTTTGCTGTAACTCTCTTGAGCCACCGGGTAAGTGTTAGCCATCAGGCATCGAACTTTGCTTATGTTTTTCTTTTGTTTAGTTTCATTTTTCATTCATACCTTGGTTAATATTTCTAGGTTTCAAAGTAATAACCGACGAATGGAATTAAATTGTGACTTAAGCGTTGACTGATACTATGATAATGGTGAATTGTAAAGCAAGCGAAACAGAGAGTCTCTGCATAGTTACGGGTCTAGCACTGGATGAGTACACAATACATGGGAATGAAAAGAAAGGAGCTCAAATGTACAAGGGTAGTTTATCAATTACTTACATCCAAAAAATTATCCAGAAGTGTGGGGTCTTTATTGACAATGAACTCTTGCACCTGTAAGAAAGTGCCAATACTAGAATTAGGAATATTATACATGACAAAAGGTGCAGCATGTTGGTATAAATGCAACCTTGCAATATTATTCTTGCATGTAATGCTGCATACAGTTGAATCCTGATTTTTCAAACATCCAATGAAAAAAGATTTGTTTGAAAATCAGAAATTACAGTGTTGACTGAGGTGAGAGAAAAGACTTTTGGTCCACGCTATCAGGAGGTTCAGGGATGGTTCAGGAGAGTAGGAATGGTGCAGTGGTTAGCTGTTGCTGCAGACCAAGCACTGCGGTGGTGAGGGCCCTTGGATTCCACCAATGTGGCCTGGGTTTGATACCGGCATGTAATGATATCTGGGTGCAGTTTGTTATTTGTTCTTGCCCTGCTCCGAGGGTTTTTCTCAGGGTACTCCAGTTTTCCTCCCTCGAAAAACCAACGTCTCCAAATTCCAAATCAAGGATGAACTGGCACAAAACGCAAAGCGCGCCATTTTTCCCATCATTGAAATGGGGGAGGGGTGGTCTTAATTTTTCATTTATATTGTCTAAGATTGCAGCTAAGGCTGATGTGGCTTCCTCTCTAAACATTGTACAGTAATTTATTTATTTTTATTTTAGGTTCGAAAAAATCGAGGGTTTAAGAAATTGGGATTCCACTGAACATGTAATTTATGAGCAAAATCAGTGATAGATGTATTTCAATGAGCGACAATGAGATTTTATTTTTTTATTTACATGTAGCTTACCTGTTTCAGACAATTCAATTTGTTTTCCTTTTCTAGCTGAGCTTGATTGAGTAAATCAATGACCTAAGAGAAAATGCCAATAATTGGCCAAAAATCAGACCACATAACTGAGCAATATTTAATTTCAGCAAAATGTCACAGCTCCGATCCTTGTTGATGACCACCATTGCATCACGAAAGCTAGAAATCTGAGGCTGCTCCGCTTTAAAATGGACAGCTTACCTTCTCGGAGGTAGAGTCCTCAGCAGAATACTCTCCTGATGCCACAGGATTATCTGCATCATCGTTATGAAAGAACTGCGAAGCTACCGAGAGTCGAACACGAGTTCGACCATCGGCCGCCATCTTGATAACTGAGCCTCTGTGGTGCTTGGTCTGCGGCAACAGTAATAGCGAAATAACCGTTGTGTAAATGTTACTCGAAAAAGAAAATGTCGACGACTTGATTGAATTTAGCAAAATACTCAACTTGAAATTATGGGACTTTTAACGATTTTAAAGAAGATGAAGCAAAAGGAGAAAGAGATGAGGATTCTGATGTTGTATCCTTAATGTTGTTTGCTCCTATCCTTTTATAGTTTAAACGTGTTTTCCAAGTGAAAGATTCGTTTTGGAATTAAGCTTATCCGGCTTCGCTGATGTGCCTAAATGTCAAAGCAGATCGAAGACAATCACATCATGCCAGCTTGTAATTTTAGCCTTAACAACGTTTTTCAGAGGTCTTGATAACGCTGGAAAAACAACAATTTTGAAGAAGTTTAATGGAGAAGATATTAATACCATAGAACCCACGCTTGGATTCAACATCAAAACCCTCGAACATAGAGAGTAAGACAATGTGTATATAAGCTTATTGTAATTTTAAAAAATGATATTTCAATCGCTTTTAAAATATTTCATTGCCATATATTATCTATCCATCTGTTTGTCTGTCTGTCTGTCTGTACAACATTTTCACGCACAGTTTATGTGAAGAAAATTTCTCCTGGCTGTTTTATTTCAGCCTGTATAAACATTGTATCTGATATCTTTGTCAGACAAAGTTACATACTGAACACGATCAATCAATATTTGGTTTGAAAGATGTTATTAACTTTGTGGAAAATCTGTTCAAAAATCTGTCACAGATTTAAGCTTAATATCTGGGATGTTGGAGGACAAAAGTCTCTTCGATCCTATTGGAGGAATTACTTTGAAAGTACAGATGGGTTGATATGGGTAGTGGACAGTGCTGACAGACGGAGACTTGGGGACTGCAAGGAAGAACTCAAAGGACTCCTTATAGAAGAGGTAAGTTTCAAGTAGAATTTACTATTTATGTGGTGACAGTGAACTCTTTTAAGGTTACAGTATACCTTCGGGTCGGCAATTTTCTTCAAATTTGTATTTTTGGGTCAAAATAGTGGTCAAAGAATAATCTCTAATTTCTGAA